CGCCTCTGACCTGGTAGTAAATGTGGAAGTTCCTCTCACTCTCATTCTGGCTCACCACCCTCGACTTCTCAAGCAGGAAGTTAGAGATTTTGCCACCATCTGGTTCCCCACCTCTGCTGAACTGAATCTCAAAGTATTTTCCCTGGTAAACACAAAATCAGTCGTCACATTTGCACCACTACACATATTGTTTTGTGTCACTGGGACCGGAAATGCACCAAGCTCTGCAGCAGAAACAGAAATCTGCATTTATTTTTTTTTTTATATTATGAGCGAGAACGTTAAGTGCATGCATGAGGCTGCAGTGACCCATAAACAGACTTTATGATGCTTCACTGAGGCTTACAGGAAATTTCACAAGCTAAAGCTGCACATGTGGAAGTTGATGTGGTTTAATGGTGTGAAATTAGCGAATTACCATTAGTGGTGAGAAAGAACTGAGTCAAGTCGAGTGGGTTTTGTGTTACTGTCTGTGTTGGAGACAAGGATTTTTAGCGTTTTGTAACCAGAAATCATAACTGGCATTCCAGGCTTAAATAAATATAGTTTGTGCAGAAGCTCCACATGTATTTCAGGGAATTACAGAAATGAAACCGAGTCAAGATCAATCTGGTGTTAGTTTGGTATGTTTGAAGCCAGGCTACGTTCTGCAGGCATTAACCCAATTAATGTTCTGCGTAAAGCTAAAACTAATGCTAAAGCTAAATGAACCAGCATTACTTGTGTTGTTTTGAAAGTCTCTGTATTTTGCACAAAAACTAACTTTAAAAACTTTAAAACGTTTTTACAGTTTCTTTCACATAAAAAATACAATTGTTAATTTTTTTTAATAAAAATAATTTTTTTAATAAAAACATGCAAATAAATGAAACAAAATAAAATATTATAAATAATATACAAAATGTGTTCTGTAAATATAAAAAGACCACATAAAGCAGAATGTATTAGAATAATAAAAACTAATCAGACTGGAACAGTTTTGAAGCATTAAATATTTTTGAAGAAATGTGAGGAAATACATGTGACTTCCTGGCTCGTCTTGTGTCAGGTGATGTTTGAGAAATAAAAGCTCACTTACAAAACGACTGGAGTTGTTGTTTCGGACCGTCTTGGCATTTCCAAACGCCTCCAGCAGAGGATTGGACTGTAGGATGATGTCTTTTACGTGCTGTGACGCATAAACACCGGTTATTTAGAAAAAATTACTCAGATTTAATTTGAATCAAAAATAAAACACGTTGTTTGTTCCTGTTTCTACCTGCACTTTGGATCCACCTCCAGACACTTTGGAAATGTAACCCATGATGTATTTGGCAGCCACCGTCTTTCCAGCCCCGCTCTCCCCGCTAGAACAAAATCACAACTTTTAAGTTATTCATCTCATTTACTTTTATTAAAGTCATCTGAATCAGTCAGTTTAAAGTTTATACCTTCTTTGACATTTAATGAGTGAATTTCAGATTCATCTGGTTAGTCTTTTCCTGTAATTATCTAAAATTGCAGGTCATATTTTAGCTCATCTCCCCATGGCGTACCTCTAGGTTGTGTACTGGGGCCACTATTCTTTCAAAATATCTTTCTTTGTCAAATTCAAGCATTTTAGGCATTTAATATAATTTTTATCACTACCATGCAGACAATATATAAGAGACCTTTTAAAGCCTCAGCCACATTTTTAAATATAAAAAACTGCATGGAAAAAAATAATTTACCTAAATGAAGAAAATACTTGAAATCCTTGAATGTTGGATTATTTCTTTGCTGCTTTAGCCGTCTCTGCTACATCTACAACCAGGAACCTTGCTTTGTGTTTTCACCAAAGTATTACTTTTGGTAATAAATTGATGCTTTTACCAATAAATGCTACATTTTATGACTTCTCAGCTATTTTAATTGCTTAAACAGATGGGAATCAGCTTTAAAAAGCTGCAAAAACCTGATTTATTCCAAATTATTTAAAACTTTTTACCAGGTTTTTTGATTTAAAGTCTTGAAAGCTGCTAAATGAAGTCAGTTTTACTTACTTAATTTAACAGAAAAGAGGAATTGACATTAAAAAAGATAGCAGTTTGAGAAAACTTGGGTTTTCACCTGATGATAACGCACTGATTCTCGCCGTCGATCATCATGTTTCTGTACATGTTGTCTGCCAAGGCGTAGATGTGTGGCGGGTTTTCATACTGGGCCTGCAGAGAGACAGAAGCTGGGGTAAAGAGCTGCAGGAAGAGGAACTGCACCACAAACACCACAGGTCTGCAGAAGTTCATGTGAAGATGTCTTCACTCACGGCGCCTTGGTAGAGTTCAATCTCTCTGTCAGTGAAGTAGGGCATCTGTTTAAATGGGTTCACCGATATCAACACGGGGCCGATGTACGTCTGAGGCGCAGAGTCAAGGAAAGCTCAAAAACACGGTTGTGTCTAGCATAATTCTTGGTGCAGAATGAACCGTAGTCCTATTTTTAAAACATTAAATATACCTTGAGTTATTTTCTTTTAAAGAAAGTCACAAACATACCCAGATATTTTCGGTTTCATGTACGAGTGAATCAGAATAAAAGTGGAATATTTAATCCTCCCACTTTGTCCTGCACCTACACACCTACAATGCAAAATATCCTTAGTTTATCTGACATTTTCCTTCTCTGAAGGAAAAGATAATTAACATAATCACTCTAATGTTAATGCTGCAAAGTACAATAATAATAATAATAATAATAATAATAATGCATTTTATTTGTCAGCGCCTTTCTAAACACCCAAAGACACTTTACAACATTGAAAACACAAACTAAACAGAAAGAAAATGGATATGAAAACATAAAATAACTAAAAAAAATAAAGTGAGAAGGCTAACTTGAACAGAGAGTCAATATTACGGATGTCAGAATATATGAAAAATAACGCAATAATGCACTTTTATCTTGTTATGCTTTTGTTTTGGTAAAAAACAAAACCACAAAATTTTTACAAAATTTTGTGGTTTGTAAAACAAATTTATCTCAAATGCATCTGCAGTTTATATCTGATCACTATCGGAGATGTGCAAGAGACACAAGCTGAGTGACGCGACACAATAAAGTCAAAAAGAAAAACAATATTTAGTCAGACTGTCAGCAACTACATCTGAGACAAAGCCAGATCGCCGAAACGTTTTCCTCTTCAAATTACAGATATTGATCTGGGGGTAATTAGGACAAGTCAATTCTTAGCAATGAAAAATAACAGGGGAAAAAACTGGACAGTTAGACGTATTTCTGTGAATAATGTCAGCATAATTAACTCTTGCAACAAAAACAAGTCGCTTCTGTTTATTTTTTCTCATGCATGTGGAAGAAATGTGAATTAGAGAAGCACCGATCCACTTTCAGTGTCAGCTGATACCAATCCGATTCAGATAAACTGTGCTGAATTACTTAAAACTTAAATGTATTTTCTAACTCTGCACCAGTACCAATGCACCAATAGCTTCAAAATCTTGGTCAAATATGCAAAAACAATTCAAATTTAATTTATTCTGTCAGTGCAATTAGGACTACAAGAGGCAATATAAAATAAATAATAAGGAAACTGAAAGACAAAAACAAAAAGTCGACTACTTTGGTCAATTTTGTAAAAAATAAACTGCAACAAACTTTCTTTCAAATGATTCAGGAAGGATGTCTAATAAATATGATGCAACATAAATAAAGCACACAATTAGACTGAATCGACACTGATACAGATGTTAATATCAGATCTGTGCATTTTTCCTTTGATCATGTGAACTTTTGATTTACGTTATTCCTTTTTTCTTTCTTTTTTTTACAGTTTACTGAGTTTTAAATGCACATCTAAAGTGATCTAACGTGTGATTTGAATCTCATGTGTTTTACAGAAACATGGATGCTTGCAGTCAGCTGACAGGCTGTGGGCCCACAGCTGCCCGCCTGTAGGTGGGGGAAACCATGAAGTGAAGTCATGCCGTCATTCTTGGATGATCTCAGTGTTTCCTGAACGCTTGCAGCTCTGACCATAACAGGCCATAAAATCAACTCGCTTCCTGGTAGCTAAAAAAGTCCAAACGTCAAACCTGTCGAGGAATAAACAAATATACCCCAACTCTCTGCCTTCGAAGTGAAACCGACGATTGATTTAGTAGCAGAGGCAGATGCCTGAGTGTTTGTATTTCATGTAAATGAGCTAAACTAATTTTAGATCCCCAGCTTTGATAAAATTTAGTGTTTAAGTGGTGAATGGCATCAAATTGAGACAAAGAAAAGTTTTTTTACTCTTAGAAAAGAAGCTTCATCATAGACTTTGAGGAAACAGCCTTGTTGATTTCCCAACAGCATGGTTAGTTAAGCAAAAGGAGTAAAATCTTAAACACGCAGACATGAAAACTGTTTCTAAAAATGTTTAAATCCGTCCTGTCAGGCTAAAAAGAAAACCTAATCAAAACAGCTTTTACCTGAGACTTAAACTATTATCCATAATTATAAATAATAGATACAAATCATATAAATTATTGTCTAAACGTGAATAAAGTTTGACATTTCTTTTGGTTGCTTTTTCATTGTTATTATACGGTTTAGCTGTGCTTTGAGAAGACGGAAGTGAGTCTCTGCTGACAGTAAGGAGGAAGAGCGAATCTCTTGTTTTTATGACCATATATGTTTAAACGTTGGGCTGTTTATGCTTGAGAGCAGAGTGATGCATCGAATCCAAGTTTATTTCTACTAAATAATAATCAATCTGATGAGTCGTTTAACTTCTCTAAGCTTCATTTAGTAAAGTTAAAACCTTGATAATCTGGTAATTATCTGACCGCTTGCAGGATACAAAAATGTAATCGTCCATGTATCTCTTCTTGAGGTTTTCCACGATGGCGTCCTCTGTGATCTTGGACAGCAGGACCATGTCGTCCACGCCGCTCTGCTTGACATTCTGACTCTGCCAGTGGTACTTCGCCTGAAACACAGAAATTTAGTCATCCAGGTGTTTCTTCCTGGTTTCACATGTCCTGGATTTAAAAAAAACAACCTCAGGTTATCAAACTGCTTCACATGAGATTTGATGTTGCACATAACTCCCATAAATTTAATGGTTCATCCATGTAAGTTAACTACAGTTCCTAAAAAAGTGAATAAAACCAAATCTAGCTTTCAGACTTCAGTTAATAGAATAAAAATAAGACTTGTATTGATATATTAGTAATATCTGCTCATCTTTAACTGCAAATTAAATTAAATTAGTTTAGACCTCTGACAAATTTAGAATTAAAATTATTTTCTTTCCTTCCTTGAGAAGTTTGTTTCTGTTGGAAAGTGAATCAGACATAAAAGACAATAAAACAATGTAAAAGGGGCATTAATTTAGAAAAAACATACTTTGTTATTAAACAAAGAGCCTCTTTAAAATTACTCTAAATGTGCAGCGGAAAAGTATTTACCTTTAAAGACCCTTCTGAAAATCAGCTTTTTTCATGTTTCCTCTGATATTTTTGATTATCTTTGGAAGACCTCAAATTAAAAAATATTTTTCTAATTAAAAATAACTTGATAGTGTTATTTTAGAAAAGTTTAGAAAATGTGTCCCTGCTTAATTGGGGGAGGTCAGTTTTCTTGCATAATGAGAAATAATTATTTGGTTTGACAGTATTAAGTTATAACAACTCACAAATGAAGATTAATAAATTATCAGAACTTTAAAAACCAATGTTTAGACAAATTATCTCTTCATTAACTCTAATTTCTTTTATTTAATTTCAGCAGGTGAACCTTCATGTTCAAGTTAAATTTTCTTCAAATGTTTTACAAAAGCAACACAAATTAAACTCTTGTGCTTTGCTAGCAGCCGGTTTTACGATGTGAGTCTGTCTCGTGTCGAAACAGTTTGTTCCTCAGTTTCTGGTCAACAATTACCAAAACCTTTAAAGGAAACGCTTTATTATATCTGCCCAATTCTAACAGGAGACATAGGATCCTGTTTCTTCATTTCCTTATTTGTTAACCATAAAAGGTTAAAACCTGTCACAATGTTTAACACCTAAAAGTTTCAGAACAAGAAATAAATCTGAAAATCCGCCAAATATCACCTGAGCAAAAAAGAGTTTGAAAGAACATTTTTCGTACCATAATTTCTGGACTACAAGCCGCTTTGAAAACTGCGGCTTAGACGATGATAAAATATCGATTTTTACCCATGGGTTTCCAAAAGCTGGACTCGTGTGTCGTGAAGAGGACAAGCTCAAAAACTATCTTTATACGCTATAAGAGCGACAATGAAAGAGACTGAGGAAGTGTCTATGAGGCTGATGGACTCTGATACTGAAGAAGACAACTTTAGTGGTTTTAGTAGCAGGAAGATGAAGATAGCAATCATTAAAAGTAATTCTATTTCATTAAAAGTTCATATTTAAGTCAGTGGATGAAACTTATATTCAAGTGTGCTCTGAAATTACGGTGCTATGGTAAAAAAAAAATTGCTGCTAATGTCCCCTCTTTCGTTTAATAAGGAAATTAACTCCTTATTGAACTCCAATTAACCACAATATTTTGTTTCGGTTTACACCTCAACGGCTGATCACTGCCAGATCTGGAGAAAATTCACTCAAATACAACCTATCTGTTGATCTGTAAAATGTGCCCTTAGCTAAAGAATATATGAGAATCAAAGTTAATGGGTGTTTTCACACTTAATAGTCTGGTAGGCTGGGTTCAATTGAGGACCAGACGTGCAGCATTTGTTACATTTTCAGCTGGGACGGTTTGCTTTCACTCTACACTGCGTCAAACAATCCAAGCTAATTGAAAAACATGTTCTTCCCCTCGCCTGTGGTGGCGCTGCACCAAAAGCCACTGAAGCAAACGACATGAGAACCTCAGAAGAAGACAGGAGCGCAACTTCCATCTTCAGAAAATGCATCAGATCAAGCATCAGATTGTAGCTGTTGAAGGATTTCTCTCTTATCTTTGCTAAAATACGACGAGACATTTCTCCCACTAGCCCTTGATTCGAGCGTTTTCGTGTTTATTTTGGTTTTATTTACCCAGAATGCCCTGCGCTACCGTCCGCTTCCTGCTTTCGGGTGGTTTATTTCCGGTCCACTTGTATCCACATATGAAGTAGAAATACGACAGAGATTTTTATTTTTGGTGTGATTGCACATTCACACCTCCCTAAAACGGACCGAACTTTCTGGCGCAGGGCATTCTGGGTAAATACACCCAAAACAAATGTTTGTGTCTAGATGATTAGATGGCTCGTGTTTTTTTTTTTTTTTTTAAGTCAACACAAAATAGAAATCCTACACCACTAAAATCTAACTCTACTGTTGTTTACATTTTGTGAAGGGAAAAAAAACTATCATGAAGTTTTGCTTATGTTTTCTTGCGAGGTTCTTATGTTGTTTCCTTGAGTGATTTTTGGTGCAGCGCCACCACAGGCGAAGAGAGGAATAGGTCTTTCAAAGGGAGTGTGAAAGTGAACCACACCAGCTGAAAATATAATTGTTTCAATTTTGATTCGTAATCGAACCGATCTTATCACCTTTAGAGTCAGTGTTCCTGATTCATCAACAAAAGAGAGACTGGCAAAAATACCATCAATGGGAGAGTTACAAACTGACCAAAGAGCAGAGGCTGATTCCTGAAACCATTATGATAATATTCTGTAAACTGACGAGAAAAAATCTGAACTATTTGAGGTGTGTGTGTCCTGGTATAAAACCATTAGAAAAAGAAGCATCAGACCCACCGCCAGACTTTGTGGTAGTGTGAAAGTCTGGAGCTGCAACAGCAAGTTCAGTCCAGAACGGCTCAAAAATGACAGTTCACACGTTTCAAATCAGCCTTGTCAAGGTTTATACAGAAACCCAATTGAGACGCTTTGGATATAACCTTAAATTTGTTCATGCTTGAAAATCCTCTGATGTGGGTGAATTATAAAGTAACTCTAAAAAATAGTTGGCCAAAATTCATCTAAGGTTTAGTAAAACACTACTATAGGTTTGGAGGGGAATTACCTTCTCAATTAGGGACAGGTTTGAAAAACTTTTTCTAACCTTTAGAAAAAAGAGTTTCGTAATTCGTCAAGTTATGTGTTTGATGATCTGAAACATTTGAATGTGACAAAAGACCGAAATTAAGTGGGGGGTTGCAGTTTCACAGCAGTAATAAAATAAGCAGGCAGGAGGATTAGGAGGTTAATAAGTGGAAATTAAGGTCATTATTATTAATGACCTGAAAAACTTACTTTGAAAAAGTTTAGTTTCAAGTCGTAACTTGTAAAGAGATTTAAAAAGCATTTTTAAAGCTAATTATATGAAATCATGACATTTACTACTGCTTTTTACAACCACTGTTGAAAAAAGTATGAATAGCGAACTCTGACATAGTTTGATAAATATCATTAGATGATGCAGGTCAGCAGTAAACGCCTGTTTGGCATCTTCACATACATTTGTTGAAAGCAAAACTAGTTGTGGTTGTTGTTGCAGGAAACTGAGGTTGGCTGCCAGGCAACAGGTTAAAGAAACCCTAAACAGGTTTTGTTTTTACTTGGACATTGTTGGAAACAAAGCCACGATTGTCCAACTGCAGCTTTTACTCTGAAACCTTTTAAATAATCTGAGGAGCCGTCTTCGAATCCAGCTGACCTGGTGTTTGACACCTTTAAATTCTTTTCCCCAAAAGATGCTGGTCTGTTTGATGTGTGAAGCTACTCAGGGTTTGTCGCTGGCAAAATGTGGTCTGTGGTCAGAGACAGAGTCTGACGTTGACATGCAAGAAGCTCCCTGCTGTGGTGTTTCATCATCAGAGTGATGAGAGAAAGAAGTTCAGACATTTACTCACATTTTAAATCTTTAAAGACAAGATCGTAGGGTAATTTTAGTAAAAGACGAGCACTTCTTGTATTAAACATCATGCACAGCTCAGGGATAATCAGTCTGCTTCATTAAGCTCTCTTACATAGCAAAACAGGAAATGCTAAGAACAGTCACTCAGTTTGTATTTTTACATTTTAAAATCCCATGATACACGGAAATTACATTTAAAGAATGCTTTCGAATTGAAGCCAACTGTTACTGCAAGTTGTCTAAATACAACAAAAATTTCTCAGTAACTTTGAAAATGCTTCTTCTGTGCGTTGCTTATAAACAGGGGAGATTTGGGACATAAAGCTCTGAGCCCGCTGCACTGAATCCCGTTGAAAACTTCCTGGTTATTCCACCAAATGTTCATTTCCGAGTTAAAATATTAGTACTGTTGTTTCTAAATGAATATAAATGTGTTTTCTTTGCATTATTTGAGGTCTGAAAGCACTGCATCTTTTTTATTATTTTGATCATTTCCCATTTTCTGCAAATAAAATTTTTTTTTGCTTCCAATTTCAGACATGTTGTCAGTAGTTCATAGAATAAAAGAACAATGTTTATTTTCTCAAACATATACCTACAAAGAGTAAAATCGGAGAAACTGATTCTATCAAGTGGTTTCTTAATTTTTTCCAGAAGGCTTAAACAAACAACAAATCATAGGTTTGGTTTATATCAAACCAAAACTAGTGCCAAACTACTTTTCTGCATCATGTAAGCACTAAATATGTGACTGCGCACCGCACACGTTTAAGATGGCGTCTGATTCAACAAGTCAGTGCGAAAATAAAAAGATATTTCACTGCATTTTGTAGGTTCTTTATCTGCTTGCTTGCTTGTTTGTTTAAAGACTTAAAGTGTTGTTTGATCAACCTTAAAAAACTACAATACTTCAAATTCAAAAGTACTTTCTTGATTCCAAATGGAAACTAAATGTTGCTGTAACTCAAAAGACTTTACTGGTTATCTGTGTCATTCTGTTGTGGTTTGAATTAGCTTTATCTCTTTATTTTTATGTTTTATATATATTATTACTGAAACTTGATAATTCTTCAGAGTTATTGTAATCTGCGATGGCTGTCAGCAAGAAAGATCTCCTGTAGTTGTCTGTATTCCAGTGAATTTGAAGAAGCCTCTGACTGAAGACACGGTTTTTCTTACGTTGGATTATATCCAAAGTTACTTTTGCAAAGCAGAATACCAATATTTAACAGATCAATATGCTTCTGTTGATGTCATGACGTAAAGCTTGTTTTCTAGATTGTTTTCATCAGAAGAGTCGAGGTGATGTTAAAAAAGAGCTTTAGAATCTGCTCCGTTTTTTTTTCCTGGAGTCTTTGATGATCAGCTGATCTCAAAATACAGCAGAAAAAAACCCACAATCCATTTTTGAACATTGCAGTGAAGAACTTTAACAGATCTGACCACAAACAGAACGGCTGACCTTAGAGTGTTGAACTGTGTTTTAATTGGGGATTAATTTCAGCCTTCATCTGAACTCTTCGTTTGGGTTTTTGTATTTACATGTAAGTCTGGCTTTCAAAACTTTATGGTGCCAAAAAAACATCTGCAAAGAAATTTATATATTTTAGCTTTGAAATTTATGTCCGATTAAAATCCTCGATGCAGCTTTCCTGCGTTCAGTTTGCATCTCTTCCTCTTCTCTTTTTTCTCTACTTTTCTCCAGCTGCTAACGAAGGCTCCCGTGTCAAAATAAAACCTATAAGAAAATAATAATTGGCTGTTATTAAGAGAATTGATGATTCCACGCGCTCTATGAGGAACGGGCCCACAGCATCACTGATAACCTGCTATACTAAACAGTGGGATGAAGATATTCATGCTTTGTTTCATAGCAGAAACACACAGAGTGTGAGGAATAATCCACTCGGTGCTCACTTAGTGTAGAGTTGCATCAGATGGTTGTTTGATTTGACTTCATGATCCCAAGACATTGCCCAGTTAGCCATGTAACCATTTTCTTGCAACCATTCCTTGAACAAAGACGATTCAATTCAATACAAAAATACTTTATTAATACAAAAGTAAAATTAAATAAATTAATTTCCTCCTCTCTCTCCTCGCCTCATTTTCAGCTTCTCCAATGTTTATCAGGCAGTTGTAAACCAGCCTGTTGCTATGGTTACGCATCCTGACAAAATAGCAAAAACATAAATATTACAAAAATAATCAGTCCAACTACACAATATCCAAAAAAAGAAGGAACAGTTGTCCAAAAAGTTATTTTCCTCCAAGAAAGCAGGAATGAAAAGAGAAAAAAATATCAATGAAAGCACAGAGCTACTCTGTGTTACTTTCTCATTTAAAGAGTGCCAAGAACCGTAAGCCTTGATATATCAAATCATATTATTCACAAAACAGAAATTAATGGTTTACTAAAGTTAGTAAACTCTCAACATAAACATTAAAAATGCTTCAGTTGCATTTATTTCACAGAAATGTCCCAACTCCTGTTTTTGAGAGCTGCTATTCTGCAACATTTAGATGCATCCCTTCTTCAATGCACCTGAATCTAATGACTAAATCTCCTCATCATCATATCTATCCAGCTCTATAGAGGCAACCAGCCATTTACAGGATTCAGGTGTTTGGGAGAAGCAGCCTTCAAGAACTGGAGTTGAATATCGGTTGTATAAAAGTTTCTGGATTAAAGAACTCATTTGGCACATTTGTAGAGAAATTCTCAGTTCTTGCAAACATTTTCAAAATCTGTTTGCTATGTGAATTATCTTGGCATCATTTGATTCTTTTTAGCTTAGATATTTCTCTATAACCTAAACTTTTTCTTCTTAAGTGCTTTGAGATAATTTTTGCTGTAATTTTGCTCTATAGCTTCTATCCAGGTGCAAAACTAAACAATGAGACAATATTTTGTTTCCACGCTCATCAGCTCTGGAAAAATAAAATCCTGAAACTATTGAGTCCAGACTGAAAACAATATTGCAACTTCTGATCAGAGTCTCACCAATTATATTATCCCAATCTCAGATAAGTGATATCTATGACTATATAATATTTTAACACGTTTCCTTTCATGCTACGTTTTAAGGTTTATTCTTTAATAACCTCGAATGTGAATGTAACAAATCTTGTTTTTCCTTTTGTAAATAAACTAAATTAGATGTTTTAATTAGGTGTTTAATTATTGCCGTTTTTTCAGTTCATGCCACGGTTTTAACCAAGTATGGAATTGACATGATCTTCCTGGTTTATGCATGTTAGCTTAGCGTGTACAGGCACAGAAATCTTCTCTCTCCCCTTTGGCTTAGTTCGTGCTTGCTTCCATTTATACTCAGAACTGGGACATTCTAATTTCCCAGTCGGAAAAATCAACTGGAACGCCTTCCGAAGTCGGAATGTCACTGAGAGCAACTCCGCCTACCCCGAGTAAAATGGACTTTAAATATGGCCGCTCCTCGCATCAAGTGTACGAAGCTGTGGCGGAAACATGTTTTATTTTACAAGACACTCGTGTAAAATAGAGTCTAAAATCAATATTACATGTAGCGCTTGTATCGCTAAACTAAACAAATGAAAAGTGGAGCTAGCTTATCGGAAAGTAAAGCTTTAAATGATGTTTGTTAACGGTTCTGCGAACAATAATGTTACCATTCCGACTTCTCCAGCCTAGAACGTCGTTACGTCGGGTCTGACGTACAATCCATCTCCCAGGTAACTGGAACGCAGCGTTACTTCCGCTCTACGTTGTTAATGTCGCTTCCTGTTTTGCTGAATCTTACTTTCGTCATCTTCTGCCACAGTTAATCTCGTGTTGTGGAGGTAAAGCACCAATTTAGTTGTTTACTAACCGCTAAAAATACTTAAGAATAAAATATTGTTGCATGATTGACGCATAATTCATTCAGTCTTGACTGAAACATTTTACTTTTTCTCGGTGACTTTGTCTTTAGATATCTTAGCAAATCTAAGTCTTGCCGTTTGTTTTCTCAGGAAAAGCTGGTATTGGATCTGAATCTACCTCCTTTTGCGTCATATTAAAGTTTTCTTTGAATTATTTCAGTCATCAAAGAAATCAGACATACAGTAAGTTCAAACTTTGTAATGAAAGCATCAACCTTCATTTTATTTTGCTTTGAAACATTTATTCACTTTGATCTTATAAACTGATCATTGAACTTAAAAAGAGAACCAGAGACTGGAACTTAACACACAGTTGCTCAAATAAAAACCTTTTAACTTCCTGAGAGTAGATGTCATTTCTGTCATTTTTTTAACCCAACACATTGTGACACAGATTATCAATGGCAATCAGGTCAGCTGTGACTCTTATTTTGAAAGGCTCAAAGGCGTCATTGGAGGCGGCAGAAACAATTTGCTCTTATGGATGATCTTTAAGAGATTGTGTGTGTGTGAGTCACAGGCAGCATTTTCAGGAAGTGTTGTGACAGAAACTACCGGCCTCTCCTGTGAGTCCACTTCCTCCTCTCACCTCAGCCCTACCTCTTGTGAAACCTGCAACCTTTGTACATGCTCTAGGGTCTTTTCCTGTTGCAGCCCCCTGGTGCATTTTTGCCCCACAGAGTGCATTTTTGCCCCAAAGAGTGCAATGAATCCCTCAAGGCAAAACAATAGATCGATATGTGTATACTTGTTGAACCATGATGGATTTTGGTGCTTATTTTTGAATGAATGCAACACTTAAACCCTAAATCTTCTCTTTAGGTTTGTTCTTTGTGTACAAACTGATGCGTTAATATAAAATTCAACCTTAAATACACAAATTAAAGCAAATAATTTTACAGCTTTGAGCTTGAGTCTCAAAAAGGCTTGTCATGAAAAAGGGGAAACTCATTCTGCTGCTGTGAAGAGCTGAATCTCAACAGTTTTTAAGTTTAAACACATCACTGGTCATGTAAAGATGAAAATTTGACTCGTCTGACACCCTCATCTGTCGTATAAACAAAAGCTGTTTTACTTTAAATACAGTTAGTTTAATTGTTTTATCAGTTTTATAGCCATCAAACAGCACAGAAGCACTTTTCTTACTAAAAGAGTTGCAAAAATCCAACTTTTTGTTTGTACTTTGTAGATAAAATCTGAATGCGGATGTCAAAGTTACACACCTGAGTTCACACAAGTCAAAGCAGCTCAGAGGATATGAAAGTGGGGTGTTTTACCATTGTTCCTGTGGGCCTCTCCTCCTCAGGCGTCCACCGTCCAGAGAATGTGTGTCAGCTGTGTGTGCGCACCGCTAAAATCCACGGTTCGACCTCGTTAGACTGCAGCCATCACCCAGGGGAGGCACAGCCGAAACCAGCAGCAGGCGCTCGCACTGCAAGACCTCCAGCAGAGCTGTCACAGCTACTTCCTCATACTCCCACCGGCAGTGTGTGAAACAAGAACTGAACACACACAAAGATACACACGCTCACCGCACACTGCAGAGAAGCTACTTCTGTATTTCTGTCATGCTCCCTGCAGCCAGGGAGGATTAAGTAATGACCAGTGTGTTGGTTACAGCTATCAAAGCTGCAAACCAAAATTAGTCCGTCAGATTCTTCTGGGATGAGCGGAGGAACGGTGCTGGCGCTGAGGGATAATTTTCTCTAGTGTGCTGCCAAATGATGATGGGTGTTTTGTTTGAGAGGTGCTGACTCCACCCAGGCTGTGGTTGCTTCACGCAGCCTCCAACGCCCTTGATAACTGATGAGTTCAGGAACAGAGTACAGGAGAGCGTGTGGGTGTGCAGGTGCCGAACAGGCAGTTTTTGGTTTGTTTTAGAGCTTCTTGAGATGCGTCCTCCTGCATGGCCGCCTGAGGTTGGAGTCACTTTCTCATGGCACTTTATCATTTAAATACGAGTCATTATTTAAGGTTGTAAGTTAAAGTTTCTGAATGTTTTCAGTTTCTTTGGAAAGCCTCTTTTGTTTTTCTCCTCTGCTGGAACAACACTAAAAAAACCACAAAATTTTAAGTATTTTTGTCTATTTCGAGTGCAAATATCTTACTGCAAACTTACACATAACTTTGCACTATAATACAGGGGTTTGTTTTAAGTTAATAATTCCTTAATATTGATAAAAAGTACTGGTTCCATTGGCAGATTATTTCACTTATGACATGTTTTTCCCATGTTTTAAGTGAGATAATCTGAGTGGATTCTCAGCAATACCAAGAAATTATTCGAGTATAAAAAGCTCTTCTTGCTGAAAAGTGACTTGCAAGTTAGTTTAGTCTTTTTTCAAATGGACCTCTTGGTGCACTGGGAACCAGACATAAAAACTTGGTCATATTTAGTGTTTCTGCAGTAAACAGTTTGTTTCTGCTTTGCTTTGTGTTTGTTCTCCCCGTTTCTCGTGTTGCTGCCTCCCTTCCTGTGTTGCTAATCTCTCTATGGGTGGAGCTGCTGCGCCTGCTGCACTGATTCATGCACTGACTGCCATCTTCTCACAGACCCAAAAGCTTTTAAAACATTTTAAAAGCCAGAAAACCTGCTAATAAAAGCAATTATGCTTTTACTAGCAGATGTAGCTCTTGAAAGTCATCCTTCCAATGTGTCACAGTTAAACATCAATTAAGGCTTTTTTAAATTCAAAAATAGCACATTACATAGTAATGATGACATGCAGCACGATGAGAAGTGAATATTCAGCAATGCAGCTTCTTCTTACAGTCTTACTCCATTGACGGGTCGGATCAGCCTGAATACGAGGGGAAAAAGCAGAAGTTATTGCTTCATTTTGGTTTTTCCGTGAAAACAGGCCGATTCTGAAATAGATGAGCGATGATGTAAACTGTCAGAGCAAAAATCCGTCCCAGACTGAGAGCAGATCAGCGTTCACTTCCTTAAATCAACAAAAAGTTTAATCAATCTAGTGTTTCCTTTAAAGGAAAAAAGTGGATGTAGTGCTGACCAAAATGCATGAACAAAACAGAAAAAATAACAGCAGGGCTACGGAGATACATCAGTGACATATTTAGTTTTTACTCTTAGTGAAGATCTAAGTGTTTGTTTGTTTTTTTACATTTGCTAAAACATATAGTGAGACATATGTGCGAAAAAGATTGATCTCCCCGAGTTACTGCAGTGATCTGCTCCTGGTCAAAAACAGCCAATCAGAAGAAGGAGGAGGGTCTTAGCATGTCAATCAACCCCATGTATGTACTGCTAAATGCGCTAATGGTGCAGAAATGACTTACTGTTACAGGAAAACCATTTATCTGCAGTTAAAATGGGCTGCAAAAAGCATCATTAGCAGGGATGCTATTAAAGTGTCATTTTCTTTCCCTTTATTTTGCATTAACAACATTTTTATAAAAAAAAAAACATGCAAATAAGTTTTAAAATAAAACTAATTTGATTAAATTAAATTTGATCATTGCTTATGTTGTATACATATTTACCAGAGGACCAACACATGTCTGCCATTAAATCACATTTAAAGACATTATTGAGACATTTTAAAATGTGGTGTTATTTTCTTTAAAGTCATTCCAGAACAAGTAAATTAAGTACTTAAGTATTTTACTGTGGATTGTTTCCTTAAGCAACAATCCGAGCCCTAGGCTACAGAAATTGGTGAAGAGTTTCAGCTGGAAAGGAAATTTTACATATGATACAAAAGCATGCCACACTTTTCAGATGTTTTTGGTTGTAAAAATGTAAAATCCAAAATTTCAGGAGATAAAAATACTTTTGTAAGACTCCTTGTAAGCATGAAAAGTGTGCATCATGCTGGATCATGTCACTGCATTCAGGAAACAGGGCCTCTGATTAATTAATGTTTTGATTTTAAATACTAATTATCACTAAATCTGAGAGATCACATAAATAAATGAAGACATGAATCAAAGAGGGCCTCTAGTGGATGAACCTTTATAAACAGCTGCACTTATACACTTCATCACTATACGTTCTACTTTGCAGATCTGTAATATTAAAAAAAAAGGCTCAAGTTGATTTTTAAATAAAAGATTTTAACAACTGCTTACATGATACATGAGGAATAAACAACAAATAGCACCATTCAAAACCGAAGCACCACCAGAAGTAACGGGAACAAGAGTGCAGCCAATCCCCACAAAGACAGACAGTCACTTCCTTTCTTCACAGAGAAACGTTTGAGTGTTGCAACGAGAAGCTGCTCTAAGTGTTGACTAAGCCCCAGCAGGTCGGAGCGCACAGTGAGCATCACAGCGAGGCCACGAGGTGCCAGGACTGAGCTCCGAAAACACTCTGAGGCGGCATTTCTGCCATTTCGAGTCGGAGAAACGCGGTTTATGCGTCACTGAATCTGCTCTGCATCAGATGAGGTCGTACCAAAAGTGGGACACTTTGAGGTCACGATAAAAATAAACTCAGAGTCAATTTCCCCAGAAGGAAAAAAAATAAAAATAAAATAAACGGTGTCAGCGTTTCTGACAAAATGCTGTGATTTCTTAATCTCGGAAAAGATTTTGTGAAGGGACTCTGTAGGCCCATTACTTTACTTCATCACTGTGTATCAGATTCTTTTATTTACACAGAAGAGGATTATAACCATCAAAATTATTTTATATAAAATTCAGAGTTTGTTCTCTAATTCTGTGTCAATCTGTCAAAATCTAAATAAATAACCAAACTTTCTTAGGTATATGTCAACAATTACGTTGTTAGTATGTGAAAATAATCACATAACTACAACAGAGTATTAGGGCAAATAAAAAAAATCAGTAAGTGTAAGTTTTCACCAAAAAAATCTGAAAATTTCTAGAAAAAAAGAGAGAACATTCCTGGGTTTAAAAAGTAAAACATTTGCTGGAAAAAAAACTCAAGATATTTTGAGATTAATCTCAGAAATAAAACAAATGTATATCTGGAAAGTTGCAAATTATCAAGAAAAAACTTGAAAATATCTTAATTTTTTTTCTCAAATTTTTCTGAGATTAATCTTAAATTTTCTGGCAAATTTTGGACTTTTCAAGCTCAGCGTTTTTTTTTTTCCTAGAAAATTTCTGATCTCAATCCAGAAATGTCTGACTTTTTTGGCAGAAATTTTATTTTTTTAATCTGCAGTGGCCCTAATCTGCTGCCGTACTGAACCGTTATAGATTTGTCTCAAGGTGCATAAACTATCAAACTATTTTGATTCTAGAAGTCAGGATGTTTTTTCAGTTATCTTCTTCCATACATTTGATTTATGGAAATGATATAAAAAATCTGTTTTAGATGTAATTTTGTTGTATATTATTCTCATTTTCCAACTAAATGTAGTTTTTACTCCAGTTCAAACCAACCAGATCATCATGTTTCATTATTAGATTATTGAAACTGTTACAGAAACTGATACGAGATACGTTTCTTTACTTCATGTAATTATGTTGTCTGCATTTCTTTTTTTTTAACAGTTTCCTGAAGACATGACCATCTATCTGCAGCTGATTGTTCATTTTAGTTCAATTATCCACTTTCCCGGCTCCGTAAAATGCATAAAAAATAAAGGATGGTTTAATATTTGCAGCTTAGATCCTATAACTTCAGTCTGAAAGCAGGGATTTGATCTCTGGTGTGAACATTTGATGACTCATTGAAACATTTGATGACGCGGAAATGGCTCCAAAATTACACAAGCACTAAAGTTAAAATGATTATGCTCCCCTTTTGACATACCAAATAAAAAAACTGGCTGCGATATGACAAAGCTGCATTCATACCAGAAAAAAATTATTTTCTCTCTTACAAAATTTATTGTGATCTCTTTAAATTGTATTGATGGTTTTTTGTTTTTCACTGAAGGAATTTTAAACTTTTCTGATCTGTAAACAAAGTGAGCATAAAATGTCTCAAACGTTAAATCACCTGAAATTTTATTTCTGGACACTTTTTAAATGTAAGGCTACAAAAATATCACTTATTCTCCTTTGTTTCACTGAATTTATAGAAAAAAAAACAAGTTTCAAAGGTAGAAAATAATATTCATAATCACAAAAGATGAAATGTGCTCTTGGGTTTGGATATTTCTATTTTTTTTTGTCTTTCACAGGAAAGAAAAATGTGTTTTAAGACGAGATAATCGTCTAAAATAAGAAATAAGAGCTCCAGAAGCAAGTTATGATGAAATCAGGGCTGGCTTAAAGTTTTAGACAGAGTAACTGCAGTTTTGTGAAGGAAACTGAAAGTCGGGGTTCATGCCTAAAAAAAGGCTGATAAATGACGCATTTAATTGCTCAGATTAGCTTTCCTGATGCAAAGAACGTGACAAAAATGTGAGGCTGCCTCTCTCCTCTGTTGGCCTCTTCCTGTTGGCAGAGCTGTGGCTCACTGTGCTCTGTGTTTCCACTCAGTATTTGCACCTTTACACATGTGGGAAAAATAAAACAAAACAAAAACTTTACAACCAGGCTGCGCGGAGTGAAATCTGATAATGTCAGACTTCGTGCCGAAGTCTGACAATCCGACAGCCTGTTGTATGAAAACAATTTTCAGTGAAGCTCTGCTGCCTGTTGTGATTTAACGGTGCAGAGGTGATAAACTGTAGGAGAAACTACCCAAATGGCAAGACCGCGGCGTTTTCCACAACTTCCATAAAGACATCAAGTCAAATGATGGGACAAGAAACTCAAAACACACAAGTCCTCCGACTGCAGACGCTTTGTGCAAATCCAAATCTGCTCTTACAACCGAATATCTGCGAGGACTCGATGGTTATACTGATATGCAACAAAACAAGGACATAAAAACAGTAAGTCAAGTAAAAGCTAACATTAAAATATGATTTAAAATTAAAGGAGCTAATCTTTTTCACTGCAAAAACACAAAATCCAAGTACTTTGGTCTAGTTTCTAGTGCAAATATCTTAGTGCACCTAAAATAAGAAAATTAACTTAGAAGTATAGAAGCTTTAAATCAATAATTCCTAAATATTTATGAAATTGTACTTACTCCATAGACAGATCATTTCACTTATACATGGAAAAATATCTTGCCATCAGGGG